TAGGGGCCGTCCGCAGCGCCGCCGCGGCCCCGGGGCATCAGCGCGCCGCGGATGCCGGCGGCATGCGGCGGAGGTGGGCGGAGGGGAGCGGAGCGGCGCGGGGCGGAGAGGCGCGCGGCGCTCGGTCACGCCGCCGGCATAGCGAGGCGAGGCGAGGCGACCCCCGCGCCGCCCCGCGCACCTCCCGCGGCCGCGGAGTCAGCGGGACGGCCGCGCCGGGCGCCCTCCTCTTGCGCCGCCCGCGTCAGCCAAGGCGCTCTCCTTCTTCTCCCGTCACTCCTAGGCTTTGCTCTCCTTTATCCTTTTTTTTTCTTTTTTTTTTCCCTCCGTGCAATAAGTCGCGGCGATCAGCCTCCTCGATTATCACGATTTTTTATCCCAAGCGCGCGGATCCGGCTGCGGGAGGGCACATTCCTTCACATCCACGCTCCTTCTCGCCTCTCCTCCTTCTCCTCGCCCCTCGGGGCCAGGGGATCTTCTCTCGCTTTCTCGCTCCCTCCCCCGCCCGCTCGGCTCCCGCCTCTGCCCGGCCGCGGCGCAGCGGCAGCCCCCGGCTGCTCGGCGGGGAGGCGGCGGCGCGACGCCCGCCACTCCGCGGCCCCGCGGCCAACCCGCGGCCGGCGCTGGGCCAGGGAGGCCGATCCGCGGGCGGGGCCCGGGGCAGGAGGCTCGGCTCGGCAAGGCTCCTCGCGGCTTCTCAAGTCCGGCCCGCAGTAAAACTCCGGTGAGGATGCCCGGCAAAAAAAAAATAATAATAATAATTAAAAAAAAAAAAAAAAAAAACCACACAGCCAAATAAAAAAAAAAAAAAAAAAAAGAGCCCTTCAAGCGGCGAACGCCAGTGACCCAGTCGGCAAAAGCACGGATCCGGCCAACAGATAGGCACGCACACGGCAACCCCTGCCAAGCTTGCAGCTCCTGCTCAATTGTGCATTCCTCTCGCGGCGCAGGGGAGGCAGGCGAGCGCTCAGCGAGTAAGGCGCCTCCCACCAGAGCCTAATGGTGGTTTCTTAATGCGCACAAGATAAATAAATGATCCGGGCAAAGCCCTCGGGAGGGTGGATGCTACGGCTAGCAGAGCCTGGGAAAGGGAAGAAGAGAAAGGGAAGGAAGAGAAAAGGAGGAAAGAAAAAGAGGGTAACTGCAGAGCGCCTGAACTCATCCGTCGGCGGTGCGGCAGTAACCCATCGCGCTGCGCCGCACGGCAAAAAGACGCGTGGAGGGAGGGAGGTGGAGACGCCTTCAGAGAGGATTCCTCGCCAACGACCGGGGCTCAGGACGAGATGCTTTCTGACACTGATGCTCTCTGATGGCTAACAATGAGCAGCGTTTGTTTGTGAAAGGGATTCCCTCCAGGAAAGCACAGACCAGCAGCAGCCACCTGCAACAAAGGGACAGCACTCTTCGGCAGCCGGGGCGAGGGATGGCACGGGCACACGGCTACCAGGATGCTCCCAGACAAGTGCGGATGCTCAGGCTGCCCCAACTCCTTCATCTACTTCAGAGGGTTATGTTCATTGCGACCAGCAGTGCTTGCTTACGTCTCACCTTCTGGACAGACCATTCTGTAAATACTTGGAGTGGTCACTGAAGGGTTAACAGCACGGTACCAAAGGGTGAGCTTAATGCCATTTGCCAAATTTTAGAAAATGGTATATAACACCATATGTGTGCAAATGCTTTTAACCCCTTCTTCTAAACTATTAAACCATTGGCGTCATTTCCTGGTAATGACACTTGGGTATAATTTCCTTAGTCACTTATGTAGAAATGTATTAATATTTATACAGAATAATTGAACAGGAAGAAAATGGAAACAAAATGTGAAATACATTTTTTTTCTGTCTATACACGAACACAGAAGATAAGATGCTGTTTACGAAGATGGATAGTGATAGGACAAGGGGGAATGGTTTTAAACTGAGCCAGGGGAGGCTTAGGTTAGATATCAGGAGGAAGTTTTTCACACAGAGGGTGGTGAGGCACTGGAACAGGTTGCCCAAGGAAGTTGTGGATGTCCCCATCCCTGGAGGCATTCAAGACCAGGCTGGATGTGGCTCTGGGCAGCCTGGTCTGCGGGTTGGTGACCCTGCATAGCAGGGGTGTGAAACTAGATGTTCATTGTGGTCCTTTTCAACACAGGCCATTCTATGATTCTATGAAGACACTGCAGTTGAAATGTATCTGCTTGATTTTTTTGTTTGGAAGGAATGCTAAAGGAAGTATGACATAATACAAGAAGTACATTAAGAAGACATGTAGATTATTGTCACCTGAACTAATCCAGCTACATCTTGGCAGCTTCTCTAAGACAGCCCTATGCTAAGAGCTACTAGGAAATCTCCAGAAGCGGCTGATCAGCTAAGTGCATCCCTCAGACCTTTTCTTGCTTTAAGACAACTAAACAACAACAGCACTTTGGCTCTGGAGAGAATGAATATACAGATTTCTATCCATTGAAAAGGAAAACGATTGGGTGAAGGCATTTAGAGACAATCACAAGAGAACTGCACAGTTACTCAAGTGGACACCTACCTACTGAAGCAATTAGATGAGCAAGACGGGGATGTCTTGGATATCCACAAAAGCTTTGTTGCTGATTTTTTAGGACCTGAGATTTCTTATGAACATGTACAACTAGGTGCTGATAGTTGAAAGGGTCAGTCCTGCACAGTCATAGAATCATAGAATGGATGGATTGAAAAGGACCACAATGATCATGTAGTTTCAATCCCCTACTATGTGCAAGGTTGCCAGTCCTCACCTTCCTCACCGAGTGGACTGCTGTCCTGCTCCAGGCATTGCATTTCCTGCACAAACACCCTTCTACTCTTGCCTCTTCTGCAACCATATTGCTGTTTGTTACATCCTGTATGAACAGTTCTTTGTATTCATTCTCAAGCCATTTGTACATGCATCTTGGGAGAATATAACACGTGAAAACTATTTTACAAGCCTCACAAGACAGAGAGCTTTTAAGTCCCTTTAAACTAAGATGACCAAGTTCTGAAGCCTTTCAGTTCTGTTCCGTCTCAACTGCACTTCTTCCCTCACTAAGATTTTTCAAGCTGTCAACTTCTTTAATTTGTAATGGCTCTAACAGAAAGGCATCTTAATGATACCATTAAGATGACTCAAATGCAGCCATTTCATTCTTTAATATTGAAAGACTTCCTGTATTATGAGCAAAGATTTGTCAGCTTTTCTTACCGTTTCCTATCTATACCATTGGGATTGACAAACTATTCTTCAAATTGGTTGGGGAACGCTTTCAGTACGCCACAGTTAACTGAATTACTTCAAAGCAGATATTTTCTGGATAAATTAATGAAGACTTTTCCATTGACTACTATCGTCTTTGAAGAAAGACAGTTCTTTGGTTTAAAAACATGAAATGCCTGTGGACCTTGACACAACATAACCGCACAGAAAAGCATATTTCAAATGAAGTAGGTTTTAGTTAAAATAAATAAATTACTTAAAAGGAGAAAATCTCTTTTTCTTGCTCAGGTGTTACAGAGCTACATGATGCACCTCGACAGACACCTGAGTGCAGGTGATGTATGGAATTCTGGTCCTGTAATGATTTAGCTGTTAGTTAAGTTATTATGATGTATACAAAAATATAGACTCTAAATTATTCTAGATTACTTTTCTGTCCTTAGGAATTAATATTCAAATCATAATCAGTTTTTCAAATCAGCCCACTCTTGTTAACTGAATCTGCTCAGCACATTAATTCTAATTTACGTAGGTATTTTGTAAATTTCACTTGCATTTCTTCCTACTCACTCTGTATCATAGCCCAACTTTTTTACTTATTCTGGAAATACATCTATCATGAACAGAAAACAACATATAATTTATTTTTCTTCATAGAATGCTAATACATCCTTAGTATCTCCCCAAGGACGTTGGTGACTGGGATAGAATTGAACAGTTTATCCATGGTAAAGTCATATAGTCTTAAAGACTGATGTGACAGAAACAATGGATATGCTGTTTATGCATGTACTGCTTTGTCACATAGGATTTAAATTTGGCTTTGCAGTAGGTATGCCACAGTCAGAGTGATATGACAAGGGTTCTGTTCCTCATGGCTTTACATATGCCTCCATGCAGCAGAACCAGTGACATCCTCTTTAAATAGCAAAATGTAATAAACAAGTTCAAGAGTTATGTTTGCTTTAGCTGTTATCGTGGAAGCAGTCCTGAAGATCTCAGAAAAACTATCCGCAGAAGAGCCAACAAAAGAAATAGAATTTCAAAACAGGAAAATAAGACCATTTTGGAACTATATCCATGTCAGCACTCAACAGCATGCATTTGAAATGCGTATGTTCATATTCCACATGCACACGCAGAAGCCTGTTTTTCTTCTCCAACTTTATAAAATCTGAGGACATTCATTGTTAGTCCATATAAATTTTATCTCGAGCTGTGAA